AGAGCAACCTAAGGACGTGTATGCATGCATATGACTGGGGGAGGGGTGTCAATTGGGGAAAAAGGAGACATATATAAACCTAGACAATAAAAAACATTTTTTTAAAAAAGTGAGGAAAAGGGGAGCTACCCAGCAGCACCGTGGTGAGGCTGAGATAAGGTACACCTATGGCATTCAGATGTGACCTGGCACACAAGCAGTCATTGCCACTGTTATTTCCCGCTGCGCTGGGCAGGCAGGGAAAAGATCACAGCCTAAAGTCCTGAGCCTCCTGGGAGCAGGAGTTTCTTTCCTTACTCTGCCCCCTTCGGATCATTTCCTTGCTGGGTGCCCCACCCACAGGCCCTTCGGTGGGAGGAAGACAGGTTGTTGTGGGCTGGATGGTCAGGGAAGGAGGGAAACCTCAGCTAGAGCCTTAAGGACAGGTAGGATTCAGGTGGAAAGGTGAGGAGGGGGCATGCGCATTCTAGGGGGAAAGACACCTAAGGGGCAGACCCCCTCTGCCTTCCCGGACATCAGGGGGTTCCGGAGGCCCCCTGTGTGAGCGGCCCTTGGCCTGGTTCTCTGTCCTGTTGCAGTGGGGCTGGGACAACCGTCCCTGGTTCTCATGCCTGCTCCCCTCCGGGGGCTGTTTCTCCCCACAGGGTAACGGACGAAATCTTTAACTTCCTACTGGTGTGGTATTACTGCACCCTGACGATTCGGGAGAGTATTCTTATCAGCAACGGCTCGAGGTAATTGGGGGCCCGGCTTTATGGGGGGCATAGGGGCAGCCAAAGGGAACTCTGTCATGGAAGAGGCAGGTGAGGTCTGCTACCCTCAGCTGCATTCCCTTCCTCCTTGGGGATCCGTGACATTTCACACGCAGGGAGGAGGAAAACCGTGCCTGCTACTGCAGCAGCTTGCTTGCTTGCTTGGTCAGTCTCGTGTTTACAAGAAACCCTAACTCAATATAACAGGACATTATTTTCTCATATTAAGAAACAGGTCCTTGGGGGCTGACTCAGGTAAGGCTTAATCCAGGTGCTCAGTGTCATCAGGACCCGCTTGCTCTCTGTCTCTCACCTCTGCCTTCTTGTGTTGTCTATTCTCAGGTTCTAGGTAGAGTTTCAGTTCCCAGCTCACGTCTTTATTTTTAGCATTCCCAGCAAAATAGGGCACATTCCTCTCTTGCAAGGTGTCTCACTGGGTCCTCTTGGTGTTCATTAGATCATGTGCCAATCACTGTAGCCAGAGAATGCACTTCTCTGATTGGCTGGGCTTGAGCCTCCTGCCCACCCCTCTAGCTGTCATTGGAAATCTAGAAGCTGAGTGTCAGGAGGGCCTGGTTCCCCACAGGAAAATTGGGCTGAGGTCACTAGATGAGTGGATGAGTGGATTCTGGTGACAAGAGTGATGGTCCCCCACAGGGAGAGGAGCCTCAGGACTCTGTTGAGATCCATGGCTTGCCTTCCCCCTTCAGGACCTACTTTCCACAGTTCTGATTCCTCTTTGGGGTGGCCACTTGAACCTCTGCACACCATTCTTGTCCCTGTCGTTTCCCAAAACACGAAGGAACAACTTTCCAAACCCTTCCTCCTTCCTCCCTCCCAGGGGCTATAAAGAACAACCAGGAGCATGTATTTAATCCAAACCCTCAAATAATTTGCCACCTTCTCACTTTTCTCCCCAGTGGTCTCTAAGCAGGGCCTTACTCTGAACGTAGAGCCATGAGGTAAGGACAGAGGAACGGCGGTTCCTAAGTACGCAGCCCTGTAGCATGTAGCCTGTTAGAAAAGATCAGTGTTTCTCAAACTGCATTCATTCCTGTCCCATCCACGCCATTTTTGCCATGTCCTTGTATCACCTAGATGGTCATTTTCCCACATTATATTTTTTATTACATTTTTAAATTTTAAAAAATTGCTTTTTAGAGAGAGAGGAAGGGAGAGGGAGAGAGAGAAGCAACAATTTGAGAGTGAAACATCCATCAGCTGCCTCCTGCACACCCCCCACCAGGGATTGAGCGCAGATCCCAGCATGTGCCCTGACCAGGAATCGAACCTGCAACCTTTCGTGCGCTAGACGACACCCAACCAACTGAACCACACCGGTCAGGGCATCATTTTTCCCCCATTCTAA